GTTTGGTGTCCCAGGGGTGGTGTGTGTGTGAAAAGTAGCCAGACTGTCTCTAATCACTCATAACTTCCCTTTTCATGTGATCTCTTCTGCATGCAAAAAACTGATTTCTGTTCTCCTTATGTTGCTTTTCTGGCCAAGGGCTCACTCACATTATAGGTCTTCTCCCCAGTATTGGGCTTGGACTCTCCCAAACTGTTTTCAGCTTCAGTATTCGTTTGTTAATAGAAAGCAAAGGCTAATATGCAAAGAGGAAATCTATTATCTTACCTGAGTAATCCCCAAATACCAAGGCGATATTGAATCGTTACCACCACGACGTCCTCATGGGCAGAGAGAGCTAGTCCATCGTACGGTGATGCTCCACCAATCATCAGTCCACCTCCATGAATCCACACCATCACCTGGACAACAACACAGCCACACAAGCAGTACATCGAAGACTGGAGAAGACTGCCAAGTTCATCTTAATTGGTTGCCTGTATCTAGGCTGGGGCTCCAGTTCATTGCTGAGATTAAGAAAATGACTTAACATTTAATCTTTTCAAAGGGAAAGCCGGGATTTATGCTCAGACGTTGTGGTTTCAGAACCTGTCATCATAGCTATTGGTATATCTCCTGTTATCATGATCTCAAGTCCCCGTTACCTCCTGTTGGATCCCTGCAACCTCCAAAAGAGATGGAATCATGGGTATCTAAGTGAGAAGGCTGAGTCCAAGGTGGTGTCTTGAGGAGGTTGTGATATATCTATGTAGAGCAGTTGGAATGGCATTCAAAGCATAGCTGTGTGTGAATGGCCTAAATATTTCCTTTCTCTGACTTCATTTGACAGTTTAGGCACCTGAACCTTTTGGTCCCCGTGGGGTTAAGGAAAACCTCCGAAGGTTTTACCTCAATGGCCCTACCCAGGTTCTACCACTTCTTATTCCAACAATCGTTGTTGGCTTCCTGATAAAGGATCTCAAAAGTCCAAGGATTAGCGGAACTGATAACCATTACTGACTCCTCCCAGAATGTCAGGAACAGAGATGCAAGTTCTCAGTGTGCACAAAGTCATTGCAGGCTCAGACCAACCTCAGGCATCCGTGGCTGTTCACACTTTACAGATGAGGAACCTGAGGCAGAGAGAGGATTGTTGGCTACCCCAAGGTCACGCAGCCATGAAGATCATGGTAGGCAGAGCTTAAACCAAGTAGAGAATCAGCAACATCCTGGGTCCCTTTCCAGTGAGAAGGCCGGATATGGGTGCCTCCTGGGATGCTCACTAAGAGATGCTGTGAAGAATGGTATTGCGGAGACTTTCCCCTATCTCTCTATGACTGCTAGTCACAGGTAACATCGAATCTTAGCATTTGTATCTACAACTCCCCAATCCTGGGTTTCATGAAGAGGGCTTCTGGGAATTGTGTTGGGTGCTGACCTGTTACAACCCAGGGATTATCTTTTCCAGAAAACTCTCTCCCAACCTTGTGACTGGTATATTGCAACCTTGCACTGTGTTTCTATGTGAAAGGCAGACTCACTTTGCCATTAAACTCTGTCAAAGATAGCTAGACATGATTGGGGGAAGGGGAGGGAAATGGGAGGCGGCGGTGGGGAAGAGACAGAAATCTTTAATAAATAAATAAAAAAAAGATAGCTAGACATGGAAATGGTCTACAATAAAACCCCAGGCTGCTGTCTTCAGGCAGGAAACACGTTTATAAGATTGGCTTAGCATCCTCTCTCCCTACTCCTCGGGACAGAAGAGATTTTCATCTGGCAATGAAAGTTGTTACAGGTGACCTGCGTACAAAGCCACCACACATCTCCCCTGAGACTCCATCTAAGAGCACACACGTAATAACCAGGAGACCCAAGCTTGCGAGCATCCCTTTCATGTCCTCTTTTTCCCATCAGGACCTGAGTTTCTCCACCTGCATCATGCTGGGTTTTTCACTTTTCCCCCAAGGTTCTTCCAAACTGTAACTATTTTGGAAATCATGACTTAATAAGCCACAGGGATAATCCTCTCTGAGATAAGATTAGCCATTCTTTTCCTTCCATCCTTTGGTGACTTGGGAAAGCACATGTCAACTGTAGAGTGATCTCTACCTATGTCTGACATCACCAGGAAATCAGGTGCAGGTGTAAACCTGAAGGAAGCTTTGCAGCCTGAGTCACTCCCTGCCTGTGTGCCCTTGACCGCTGCCGCCTTCATCCCCTTCTAATCCCAGGAAGGTCTACACGCTCACACTGAAAGTCTGGATCAATGGTCCTGGCACTTACAGGCAATCGGATGTTTTTTCTCAAGTCGGCAGGGGTGTATATATTCAGGTAGAGACAGTCTTCGGAAAACTTGAGAGGAATGCTCTCCTTCCTGTTGGTGAAGAGCTCTGAGAGCACCTGCCCTCCAACTGCATCTTGGGAGCACCTGGAGGGGAGCGAACATCTCAGAGTCTATCAGACAGACTGTGCATGTCATCTGGGCCTGGCCACACACTGAGAGGTTTGAGCCTAGAAAAGACGCTCCTGTTACTTTATTGGAGTCATTGCCATTGATGAGAGGTGGCAACCATGGTTACCCTAGAGTCTCTCAGTCCTATGAAGGGAACACACTTGGTACCTCACTTCTCCCTGGAGATTATGGGATGCTCTGGACCAAGGAGAAAAGTGATTATATGGTGGCCTGCCCTAGAAGATATCCCTTCCTTTGGTGCCTGGACAGATCTTTGATCTCCTGGGCTTTGTATGGTGGTCTCTAGTTGACCATGTTCCTCTCAGAAGATGTCCATCCACCAAGACAAGCAGCTGCAATGACAGGCAGCTTTTGAAGGTTGAGGTGGGGCAAGGCATCTTTGTGGGAGAACCTCAGGCTAACTGAATTCTTGTCTGGTCTCAGACATGCTGTGCTGGGTGACCTCAGGTGAATTCTTTTTTCTGTTCTGGCCCCTAGCTTCCAGGTCCAGGTGGGGTGAGTGAAGTTTCTGAAGATCTTGCTGCCTCACCTGCCAAGGTTCAACATCCTCTTAATTCAACAACCACTATTGGCTTCTTGATAAAGGGTCTTAAAAAGAACAATGCAGCATGGGATTGACCGCAGTTACTGAGTCCTCGCAGAGTATCAGGAACAGATTCAATTTCTCCATGCTTATGAAGCCATTTCAGAGTCAGTTCAGCCTCAAGCACCTATTATTATTTATTTCTTTATTATAAATTTATTATTATTCTTTTATTAATGTTAATAAATATTACTATGTACAGGCAAGTAATTGAAGGCACAGGAAGGACTGACAACTGTCCCAAGGACACATAACGAGGATGATCCTATTAGGTAGCACTTATACTTCATATAGGTTATCAGAAACATTCTGGGTCCCTTTGCAATGAGAAGGCTGGATGCCCCCATCCTTGTTGTGCAGGAGTGAGGCTGTGCATCTCACACAAACTGCAGAATGAGAACAGCTGGGACACCTACACCTCTATTCAGGGTAATGTTCCTTACGTCACTGAGAGTTAGTGCACAATATTCATAAAAGTATAAATTCAAATGTCAAAGGAGGAAACATGAGTGCGTGTTCACTAATGTTTAGAAAATGTACTATAAAGATAAAGATTTTAATTATTATTGTTATGTCTCAGTTTGTTTACTCAATGCACACAGAAAAATTTCACCAAGTAAGCCATGGCATGGGTAAGGAATGGAGGTTTCTATGTTTGCAAAGGGAGAACTCTACGGAGTCTGGTGGTTTCTAGAGACAAAACTACCTAAAATTCATATTTTTAATAGGATTGTTACTTTTGGAAACTTATCCTAAAATATTCATGATTATGCGTAATGGTTTAGCTAGTGAGAATTCATCAAATTTTATTTATAGTTAAGAAAACCAAAGTACTTTAATGAGCCTATATGGAAGATAGGGTAAATAAATAATGCTTCAGTACCCAATTAGGCACAGCTAGTAAGTATTCAGCTGCTATATATATTGTCTGAAAGGATACAGATGCTTATGGACGTGTCGCGCTATCACCCAAACTCACTGTACTGTGATCTCTGTTTAAAGCAGGATATACGCAGACAAAAGACTGGGAAGCGTGATCTCAGCTGCTAACAGCAGTTCTCTCTGAGCTGTTGAACTGCACGACTTTAACTTTCCTTCACTTCTGTGTATCTCCCTACTTTTTGTAATATTTGTGTCTTGTTTTGCAAACATACTATAAGCATAGCTAATACTATTGTAGAAGGAAAGTACAGAATGCTAAGAAGACAGCCAGGGATACTGGAAATCTCCAAAGGCACCTTGTTGGAGACACAAATGCTGTCTGAACTGACTTGTATGAAGTTCCCTGTGGTGGCTTCGAGGCCATCTGTAATTCCTGGGCGTGTTCACTCGGGTGTAAGGGTGATGTTACACACCCTTGGTGATTGCTTAGTTTGTGAGTACACAGATAGGTGGACCTGGGTGTGAGAACGGCAGCCACATTCACTGTTTTCCTCACCCACAAGTCCACACCCACCTCACTCCTGAGCAATGCCAAGGTTCAAATTAGGTGCATATGGCTTCTTCTAGGCCTGATCGATTACTGTTTTCCAAACCATTTAGTATATTCTAGTATATTATGTATCTGATGTACTAATCCACAAGTTTTTCATTTTCTTTTTTCGCTAATAGGATAAAAGTTTTCTAAGGTATGCATCTTTTTTTTTTTCTCCTAAAGTTTCTGAAAATTCAGAACATACCTTACTCACCACAGGTTCTGAGCAAGTTATGTGCCAAATAAAAGGCTTGGGAAATTATGAAAGTTACTTAGTAACTAGATCATTTTTGAGGAGGACAGTATTCTTAGGTGCAACAGTAACTGTTGCTAACAGAACTAGTCCGAGGATTGCCTTGAAACCATCCTGGAGCACCCGAGATAGACGTCCCCCTGAAATTGGTCCTACTCCAGAGGCTTACATAGGAGGGTAGGAGGTGGCATTCTTCACGAAGCTCCAGGGCTCTGCAGGCTGTGGTGGGGCAAACCTCAGGGATCCAAGAGGGGGCTTGGCAAAGGGGACTCCCAGGAAGACAGCCACAGGCTGTGCGAATCCTTCTAAGCTGACATACTTCCCCAGGACTTTGCCATGAACAGTGTTCACCACGGGTGGTGAGGATGGGTGCCCTGCTGGACAAGAAAATATGAGGGCACATCAGAGGGGGAGATAAAACCAATATTGATGGTTGGTTTATCACTTTTAGACTGTGTCATTGAAACATCCAAGGTCCCATTTCATTCTTACATGATAAATATTACATTACATATGATAAAGAAAAATATCTTTGTCTAAGGTCAACTGAAAAGTAAACTCATTGGAGGCATAAAAGTATCCAGTCTAAGCCACTACAGCAAGACAGTAACGGCGCCATTTTGTGCTTGCCCACTATACATGCTCACCCACTTTGTCCCACAGATTTCCCAACATGCACCTCAATATGTATAATCCAGAAGAACTTACCCCAAACTGTGCAAACAGCAAGAGAAGTCCAGACCAGGGCACAGAGCCACATGGCGGAAGGACAAGAACTCTGGAGGCAGGGAGGTGCCTGTTGCTCAAAGAGAAAGTATTGTTCCTTTCTCTTTCCTGTAGGCCTGCCTCTAGCCCAGCTAGCACAAATATATAAATCTGTTCCTCCTCCAAAGAACTTTCTGTGTGTGTTCTGATTTCCAAGCCACACCCACTAAGAGTTTGCCCTTCTTTATCTAGAGTCCAGGACTCTCAGTTTACAGGTAGCTAAGAACTCAGGCAACAACTTCTTTTTTTTTTTATTGAAAAAATTTCCGCCTCCCATTTTCCTCCCCCTCCTCCCGCCCCTCTCCCCCTACTCCTCTCCCTCTCCCTCTCCAGTCCAAAGAGCAGTCAGGGTTCCCTGCCCTGTGGAAAGTCCAAGGTCCTCCCCCCTCCATCCTGGTCTAGGAAGGTGACCATCCAAACTGGCTAGGCTCCCACAAAGCCAGAACATGAAGTAGGATCAAAACCCCGTGCCATTGTCCTTGGCTTCTCATCAGCCCTCATTGTTTGCCATGTTCAGAGAGTCCGGTTTTATCCCATGCGTTTTCAGTCACAGTCCAGCTGGCCTTGGTGAGCTCCCAATAGATCAGCCCCACTGTCTCAGTGGGTGGGTGCACCCCTCGTGGTCCTGACTTCCTTGCTCATGTTTTCCCTCCTGCTCCTCATTGGGACCTTGGGAGCTCAGTCCGGTGCTCCAGTGTGGGTCTCTGTCTCCATCTCCATCCATCGCCAGATGAAGGTTCTATGGTGATATGCAAGATATTCATCAGTATGGCTATAGGATAGGGTCATTTCAGGTTCCCTATCCTCAGCTGCCCAAGGAACTAACTGGGGACATTGCCCTGGGCACCTGGGAGACACTCTAGGTTCAAGTCTCTTGCCAACGCGAAGGTGGCTCCCTTAACTAAGATATGTGCTTCCCTGCTCCCCTATCCAACCTTCCTTTATCCCAATCATCCCATTTCCCCAAGTTCCCCCATTCTCCCCTTCTCACGTTTCTCTCCCCATCTCCCCTTACCCCCATCCCACCCCACCCCCAAGATCCCAATTTTTAAGCAACAACTTCTTATGTAAGCATTTCTAACTGTAACACTCGAACTACAGCACAACTTGAACTTCCCAGGACAGTCACTAGGCAGCAGATGTCTGCAGAGTTGCTCAGCTGGGAAATTAGCACAACCCCAGCTTCTTTAGACTGCTGTTTCCTAGCAGCTATGCTCTCAATTTTGGAAGGTATCTAATCTCGCTCTTTTTTTTTAATTGAGTTTTATTGAGCCCTACATTTTTCTCTGCTCCCTTCCCTGCCTCTCCCTTCCCCTTCAACCTTCTCCCAAGGTCCCCATGCTCCCAATTTACTCAGGAGATCTTGTCTTTTTCTACGTCCCATGTAGAATAGATCTATGTATGTCTCTCTTAGGGTCCTCATTGTTGTCTAGGTTCTCTGGGATTGCGCTAATCTCACTCTTAAGGAAGAGCCAGTTTCCAGGGGGCGGAGTCCATGATGGCAGAGCAGAAGCCTGGTAATGAGCAGGATGGTTGGAACTTGAGCAGCTGAGAGTTCGTAAGCTAGAATGCGAGCTGGAAGCAGAGAAATGATGGGAATCTCTGCATTGTCAAAGCCTCCGAGTGAGACATTTCCCCTAACAAGGCTGCGTCCCCTAAAAACCTTCAAATTGCACCACCAACCAGGGATAAAGTGTTCAAATGCCAGAATCTATGGGAACATTTTTCATGCAAACCACTACAATGTTTTTACAGTCAATAAACTCCATTGACCACGGTATTTTACACTAAGCACCCATCTATGCATTTATTTATGAATTCTTTCTTTCTGTAAGATTTTATTTATTTTTATTTTATGTATAAGAGTGTTTGCCTGCATGTATGTCTATGCACCACATGCCTGTATTGGTCACAGAGGCTAGAAGAGAGCATCAGGACATCTGGAAATGGAATTTATCCTTGTGAATCAACATGTGGATTGTGAAAACTGAATAGTGTCCTTTAGAAAAGTAACCATTTCTCTTAAATGCTGAGCCAATTCTGTAGCCCTTATCTGTGAATTCTTTAAAATTTCCAAAATGTTTGCCATTTATAGACACAGGAATGCTCCCAAGAGGAGAGAGCAAAAGAGAGAGTGTGAATATGCACAGTTTGATTTCTGATTGAATAACAGCCTGTTTCTGTTCTCATCCGCAGGGGCCCAGGAGCCTTGGAGAGAAGCTTGTGTCTCTACTACAGTGCTGCCCTCTGCTGGACATTTGGAAATTTTGTGGTGAAGAGTGGTGTGATTAGAAAGCTTTGTAGGACTCTGTTTAAGGAATCAGGTCAAGCACATTTTGGGGAACTCGAAAGGGCAATCTCGGATGTAGAGAATGGTATCTGGAGTGGGAACAGGAGTAGTAAATAAAATAAGACTTAAAAAGGAAAAGGAATTAAACTGCATGTGGATGGAGAGGTTGGCTCAGTGGTTAAGAGTCAGACCTCTACTGCTCTTCCACAGGGTCTAAGTTCTACACCCAGCACCTATGTGGGGCAACTCACAACTACATGTTACTCTAGCTCCAGGGAATCTGACACCCTCTTTCTGCCTCCAAGGGCACTCGCGCATGTGCACGACACACACACACACACACACACACACACACACACACACACACACACACCGGTCAAAACTAAAAATTTTAAAAGGTCAGAGTCAAGTTGTTTATTTATAAGAACACGGCAACACCTTTTAGGTTTTCTAATGACGACAAAGCAGAAGTGACTGTAAGGTGCTATGTGCAGACTCTTTAGGAAAACAAAATGGTGGTCAGATCCTCCATCAGTCTCTCACTCTGAGGCAGCAAGTAGTGCAGGTGTTCGTGCACAAAAGTGTTCTCACAAGAGTTGAGGAAACCCAGGGCACACAGGCAGAGGGCTTGCTTTTAGTATATGAGAAAACACCCTGAAGAAGGCAGGTAGAGGATATGCAACCAAACCCAAGCACCCCAGAGTCCAGAGAGTCACCTGTCACTCAGGAAGGCGGAGACACCTAAATCTAGCCCTTAAGCTTGAAACAGTGTGCTTTTCCAACCCACAGGAAATCCTAGCAGACATCTAGGAAGAGGATAGACACAAACCTTGCACTCCTGAGGGCAGTGACTTAGCCTACCGTAGTGTGAAGGCTGAGTGGGGCTGTTTTCAGACAAACAGAAGTGAGAGGCCATGGCTCCACTAAGCTTATGACCTAAAACCTTCTAAGGAAAATTTCAGCTGAAATAAAGATATGTTAAGGAGTAAGAATAAAATGCAAACATGGACGGAAATAAAAGAGATGGCTCAGAAACTGTTACAAAAACAAACCCAAAAGTTCTAGTCCTATAAATTTTATGTATAAACTATTCACATATTTACTATAAGAACTAAAAGCAAATTAATTGAAACAGTATCTTCTTTCTTATGGCAAGCAAAAATATAAGTTGATAAATCAAGAATTCAAACTGTTTGGAATAATAGAGTATAGTGAGAAATTTTTATGAATGTGTTTCTACTTCACTTTTATCTGCTCTTTACTATCAACTTTATATTACTCCAAAAGATATGGATATAATCAAAATCTGCATTAGTAGCCCTCAAAGTAGCCACAAAAGCAGACTCTACAGTAGATGAACTCTGAGTAAGTAGTGAGGAATCAGATACTATGGGTAAAATGGCACATGGTCCAACACTTCAGGCAGCACGCCCTTCCTCTGAGTTCCTAGTTATTCCTAGTGCTCTCTGACATCACCACCCCACACAAGCTGTACTCAAACCCATGTCAAGGCCTGCTTTCTTGGAGCCAAACTCAAAATGCGTTGTGGGCATCTGTGACTCTGTTACTGGCTGTCTACAAATTAAGGGTTGTCATGTTTTCCTGCTGAGTTGGCCTTTTGCTATTACTAATGGTCCCACCTTTTCCTAAACTGTATTAGTTTACCAACATTAATGTTGACACTGGATTTTCCTTTTGAGTTTCGGTTGTGACTGGTACCCTCCTTTTACTTTAACTTATTTAGACCTCAGTGTATTTGTATTTACATTGCTTTAGAAGCATCACTGATGCGCACACAATGCACACACATCCGTGCTTCACAGGTACTTAAAGTAGTTTTTTTTTTAACATGTGTTTTTGAGCTTTGTTTGTGAGGTGCAGGGCAGGCCTTGTAAGCAGGTCCAACATGTCTTAGGAAGGGACACTGGCCAGAGTGCTCTTGTGGTTAAGGAGGGAGAGTTTGCATGTTTTGCTGGCACCAAAGTAAGAACCTGTCTCAGTCACTGACTTTTCTAGAGAAGTGGGAAGGGGATTAAAGAGTAGGGAGATTAAAGCCATAAGCAGTCAAGTATCCAAAGTGGAGTCAGACTCATTAGATGTTACATCACTGGGTGACAAGAGACTAACGGAACACTATTTGGAACAGCCTTGACATTTCCCAATTCTTAGATAACAAAAGACTTAATTTCTTCAGTTGTATAATTATGCTGTTGTTTATAATTTTGAAAATCCATCATTACGCTAATCTAACTGACTTAGTTGTTTTCTCATCTTTCCAAAACCTTCGTCATACTCTAGAAATAGCACATGACCTCTCTCCAGCATGGCCTCCCTTAGATCTAGGGATATCTCTCTTTGGATGGACTGTCTAGCTGATTCATCACCACTGACTTCATGGTCAAGAGCATCATAATTCATGATGGCATAAGCCCATTTATTAATATGTTTTCTCCATATGGTTCCTCCCAGCCTGCTGTGGTAGAGGCCACTGGATATATCATCACTACGCTTGAAAGCATGTTAAACACACACACAAGCTCATAAAAATATATTACAGAAGTGGCACCGAATAGACCCCACAAAGGATGCATATGAGTATGGAAGGTGCGAGAAGAAGATAAAGTTATACTTCAAATAGGAATGCTGGGGCCACATGACTCAGACTTTTTCAGACTTCCCTTGCTCTGTGCAGATGCTCTTGTGAACATAGAAGTCCCACAAATGTTGTTCTGGGCATTACATGTGCACATTAGCAAATAAGTTAACCCACAAATGCAGCATCTATAACTGCAGATATTTATAAATATTTGAAATGAGATATTTAAAACAATATTTTAAATAACATTATATGTATGCATATATCTGTCAAATGTGTGTGGATGTCCATGGAGGCCTGAAGAGGCTATGGGATTCCTTGGAGCTGAAGTTAGATGGTTATGAGCTGCCCAATGT